TCCCCCGGCCCGAGACGGGGGCTCAGCCGGCCCCTCTCACCTCCCACGCCCTAGTCCTCCGCCTCGGTGCCCACCTAGCCACTTCGCGCCCAGGGCGTCCGACTCAGAGGGACCGCCTAGGAGCGCCTTCCCCTGGAGCAACCGAGAAAATCGTCGTGGAGAACGGATTCCTGGGCCATGTAGTCCTTTCCGCCGGCGCACGCTCGCCCTTTACGGAAAAGGACTACAGTTCCCAGAAATCAAAGGGCGCGTGGTCCTCGGCTAAAACATGTCCCCGCTGCTTCAAACGTACTGGGTGGGAAGGTTCTGCGGCTCCCTGTTGACCTGATTTGGTGGATTTTACTCATTTAGTTTCACTGCATGCATGTGGGAGGACTTTTCTTTTTCTTCATACTTTTTACGTGTGAGAGAATCTAAATACAGCGATCTATATAAAGAAATGCTCTAAGTCGTTTCATTTTGTAATTCTTTCAGATAAAAGATCCATCCACGATCAGAAAATATGTCACTGCAGATGGTCACAGTCAGTAATAACATCGCCTTAATTCAACCGGGCTTCTCACTGATGAATTTTGACGGACACGTTTTCTTCTTCGGCCAGAAAGGCTGGCCCAAGAGATCTTGCCCCACTGGAGTTTTCCACTTTGACGTAAAGCACAACCATCTCAAACTGAAGCCTGCAGTTTTCTCCAAGGAGTCCTGCTACCTTCCTCCTCTCCGCTACCCAGCCACTTGCACACTCAAAGGCGGCTTGGAGTCTGAAAAGCATCAATTTGTCATCCACGGAGGGAAAACACCAAACAATGAGCTTTCAGATAAGATTTATGTCATGTCTATCGTTTGCAAGAACAACAAAAAAGCTACTTTTTGCTGCACCGAGAAAGACTTGGTAGGAGATATTCCTGAAGCCAGATATGGTCATTCCATTGATGTGGTGTACAGTCGAGGGAAGAGTATTGGTGTTCTCTTCGGAGGACGGTCATACATGCCTTCTACCCAAAGAACCACGGAAAGATGGAATAGTGTAGCTGACTGCCTACCCCATGTGTTCCTGGTGGATTTTGAGTTTGGATGTGCCTCATCATATATTTTTCCAGAACTTCGGGACGGGCTATCTTTTCATGTCTCTATTGCCAGAAATGATACTGTCTATATCTTAGGAGGACACTCACTTGCCAGTAACATCCGCCCTGCTAACCTGTACAGAATAAGGGTCGACCTTCCCCTGGGCAGTCCGACTGTGGATTGCACTGTCTTGCCGGGAGGAATCTCTGTCTCCAGTGCAATCCTCACTCAAACTAACAATGATGAATTTGTTATTGTTGGTGGCTATCAGCTTGAAAACCAAAAAAGAATGATCTGCAACATCATCTCTTTGGAGGACAACAAGATAGACATTCGTGAGATGCAGACCCCAGATTGGACCGCAGACATTAAGCACAGCAAGATATGGTTTGGAAGCAACATGGGAAATGGAACCGTTTTTCTTGGCATACCAGGAGACAACAAACAGGCTGTTTCAGAAGCATACTATTTCTATATGTTGAAATGTGCTGAGGATGATGTGATTGAAGATCAGACAGCATTCACAAACAGTCAGACATCAACAGAAGATCCAGGGGACTCCACTCCCTTTGAAGACTCAGAGGAATTTTGTTTCAGTGGAGAAGCAAATAGTTTTGATGGTGATGATGAGTTTGACACCTATAATGAAGATGATGAGGAAGATGAGTCTGAGACCGGCTACTGGATTACATGCTGCCCTACTTGTGATGTGGATATCAACACTTGGGTACCATTCTATTCAACTGAGCTCAACAAACCTGCCATGATCTACTGTTCCCATGGAGAGGGGCACTGGGTCCATGCCCAGTGCATGGATCTGGCAGAATGCACCCTCATCCATCTATCAGAAGGAAGCAACAAATATTACTGCAATGAGCATGTGGAGATAGCAAGAGCTCTACAAACCCCAAAAAGAACCCTACCCTTAAAGAAGTCTCCGATGAAATCCCTCCGTAAAAAGGGATCAGGGAAAATCTTTACTCCTGCCAAAAAGTCCTTTCTTAGAAGGTTGTTTGATTAGTTTTGCAAAAGTCTATCAGATTCAAGTGCATGGAATTTTTTAACTTATTCTTTAGTCAGGGTCTCACTTTGCCACCCAGGTTGGAGTGCAGTGGCACCAACATGGCTTCCTGCAGCCTTAACCTCCTAGGCTCAGGTGATCCTTCTGCCTCAGCCTCCTGAGTAACTGGGACTACAGGTGTGCACCACCATGCCTGACACTTTTTTTTTTTGGTAGAGTCAAGGTTTCACCGAGTTGCCTAGGCTGGTCTGGAATTCCTGTGCTTAAATGATCCTCCCACCTCAGACTCCCAAAGTTCTGGGATTACAGGCATGAGCCACCACATCCAGTCTAATTTTTAAATATATTTTAAAGAATCATAATGATGATTTTAAAAATTGTATTTCTACCTTTGTTTATTGAAAATACATGTTTTCTTTTAATTGCATGAACTAAGTGCCAGAAAGATGTGCTTATAATGCAATGATAAATGTTGTCATTCTAGAACCAATACATCTTGAAAATATTTTACTCAAAAACTCAATTTACTCATTTATTCTTAATTGAGAATTTCTAACCTAATTTTATTAATTCAAGAAATCTTAATCACAGAAATACTAACACTAAGGAATGTCATATTCCTTATGTGATTTTTGGTGACAAATAACCTATAGAGTAATTAGGACAGATTAAACCAATAAAGAAACTAACACCCAAAATAATTAAATTAATTATTTTGTGCAATATCACAATTTGGTAGTTGGCCCAAACTTAAAACCAAAATCAACCATATCCCCCACTAATGCTCTTCATACACCTTCAAGCAGCCCCATGGATTTCGTGCGTGAGAAGAACAATTTAATACCTTATAGTTTTTATGTGTGTGTGCGCTTGTGCAAGTGTGTCTCCACTGACATGAAGGAAGAACTAATCTAATCAAACTAGGTACATTTTATTGAATTATCTGCATGCATTTCTTCAAGGATTCCCTCTTCCCCCATTATATGATACATGGATGACATATCAAAGTCAGTCACTTGAACCATTTATTTAAGGATGTTTTCATGGAAAACCAATACCCATTGATACTTAGCACTCTGGCAAAAGAAGATGAGAGAGAATAGAACAAGAAAGGGCCACAAAATAAATCTCATGGAGAAAAATAATATTGATTATTTCCCAAAATAATATAAGTTTAAAGAATTTAATGAAACTTAACATGTAGGAGGTTTTATTTTATTTTTTACTTTTTGCTGGGTGGTAGTTTGATTTTTAGTTTTTTGAGGAACCTCTATACTGTTTTCCACAGTGACTACACTAGTTTACATTCCCGCCAACAGTGTATAAGCATTCCCCTTTCTCCGTATCCTCAACAGCATTCGTTATTTTTGTATTTCTTATAATAGAACAGGCAGAAGATTTTAAATGGGGGAATATGTATATATTTGTGTGTGTGTAGTTAACTTGTGGGGTTTGCTGTCAGTGAATATTATAAAATCAGTGGACTTGCCAAAGTTTAATTAGACACTCATCAGAATGAAAGTAGTTAAAAGGACTGTTAATTTTAAGGTTTCTAGACATCAGTTAATAATTAGATGAACTTAGAAACAAACATCTTCCCTCCTGGAGTATTTTTCTGGAAAAGCATTTGACCTTATCTGAAGCACTTCAGCCATAGCTTCGTATTAGTCATTCTTCATTGAATGTCCACGATGTGTAAGGCACAACTAGCAAATTTAGGGGAGAAATGGACCACACCGGAGAGGAAGCCCTGAAGCCCAATTTCTTCCGCCAAAAGTTCCATGCCCCAGATACTGACATTAACACAAACTAAATCATGTTCCTTCTGTTTCGATAGTGTGGCTTGACGACTATTTCTTTTGGCAATTGTACATTGATGTGATTTTTTGTTGTTTTCATCACTTCGATAAAAATAAAATATAAAAGACTTCTGTGTATACTGATGTGCCCAAATTATTGATATTTATAGTTGCCTAAATAAGGCAAAATTGGAATGCTTAATTTTTTGGTGATCTTTCCACCTTGATTTATTTTCTATTTGTTAGTAGAAAGTGACATAAATTGGAGATAAAGTATTTTTTACAGAGTCCAAAGAAAGCATTCCCCCAAGAAGTAGGTATATTCTCTCTTCTTGATTTGCCTACAGTGATTCAGTGGTTAAAGAATTATTATCCAGTATTTATTTTGTAGTCAATGAGATCAAGATATGATCATTTAAGTGACCCAGTTCTGAACTCACTTACTACCATAGCCAAACTCAGATTGCATCAGCATAGCTGCTTTTAGAGGGAGTGTGTGTGTGTGTGTGTGTGTGTGTGTGTGTGTGTGCACGCACGCATGCACTCACACTCATATATGTTTCAAGAGCAAGTAGTTTGATTTTACTTATCAAATATTTGAGTAAAAATAGGTCTTTTTAAGTCATCTCACCAATGAGTCCATCAGATGTGACTTTAAGATAATGGCACTGCTTTTCTAATAAGCTTATGCAAGCATTTAAATGAGCCACACTAAAGAAATAAACACTTATTTCAAAAATATTGCCTTTGCTTAAAACATTTCAGGGACTCAAGTGTCAATCACCCTTGGATTAGGCAAGACCTCATCTCTACAATAAATCAAAAAATTAGCCGGCCGTGGTAGTGCGCGCCTGTAATTCCAGCTACTTGGAAGGCTGAGGCGGAAGGATCGCCGGAGCCCAGCAGGTCGAGGCTGTGGTGACCGGGAGCGGCCACTGCACTCCAGTCTGGGCAACAGAGTGAGACTCCAACTCAAAAAAAAAAAAAAAAAAAGTAGACATGATTTCTAAAAGCAGACAAATGTCATTTAAAGCCTAGCAGTGTATAACTTTCAGTATCACCACATTTGGTCAAAAACAAAGTGTGAATAGAAGCTAACAAAATGGATTCTCTGATGTGGCATAAGTCGTTTATAAAGATAACTCCCAAAATTGTTTACACAAGAGTAAGCGCAGTATCAAGAAATAAGTATATGACTTTCCAAAGTGATCATGTTAAGGAACTATATCCATCTACAAGTACAAGTCAGTTCGATGTGTTAGGGTAAGGGAAGACGTAGGAAAGAGGAATGCTAGTCCAAAGGCCCTGGGGTGAGATGAAGCTTGTACCATTTGAGGAAGAGAAAAAAGGCCAGTCTGGTTAAAACACGGTACACAGGTAAGATGTGAAATGCAATGAGGCCAGAGGCAGGCAGGAGCCAAGGCCCAAATTTTTCACCAGCAAAATGAAATCACATTCTGTGCTGCCCATAACAGAGAGCAATTATAAGGGTCAAATAAGTCATTGCACACTGGAAAATACTATCTGAGCATATTTTTGTGTTGTGTGTTCAAAAATGTAGTTTCATTACTCTCTATCACTGTAAAATAAATCCAGATACTCTGCATACAAATTATTTAAGAGGAGATTATGCTGCTATTTACCAGAGATTTTATGATAATAAGCATGTGTAAGAAATGACAAATTCCAAATGACAAATACAGACTCTGGACCACAGATCATCAAAGACTACATAAAATCCATATGCAATCTGCTTCTGGGTTGGGCTTTTGTACATAGCAGAGCAGCTCCCACACTGCGATCTATCAAAAGTCAGTGCTCAACACAAGGGCAAGTAAAAGAAACAGACAAAAGTAGAACTACATAAAGATATTTTAGATTGGCTGAAAGGAGGAAGACTAGGCCTTAATTATAGTTAGAAAGATGTTCAATAAAGCATTGTTTAGAAGATATAATTCATCATATTACATCTCATGCTGAAAGCCAAATTGTGAGATCATATTTGTCAAGAAGGATACTCAACTAACTGGAAATTGTTTTTTGGTCGACCATCGGTTGATAAAAGAAAGTATATGAAGCTTGGGGAAGAGAGGAATCACTCACTTGGCCCGACATGAATTGTCCATCTTGATCTGTTCCCTCCCGAGTTTCTTCTCAGCCTCCCCACTCTCTTCACACTATGCTCAATATCCAAAAATGCCAAACTGTTGATGCTCCTAGTGGGCACCCTGGTTGTTTCAGACCCCAGGACCTTTGAGCAGCCTGCCTCTTCTTCCCCCTTGCACTTGGCAACTTCTGCTGATACCCAAGTCCCTCTTGCTGTATTCACTTTTTACATCCCAGGTAAGCTACCTCTTCCTCCAGGAAGCCTTCTCTGAACCTCCCCCGCCCCCGCCCCTCCCCAGAGGGCTGTAGTGCTTATAGATCTCAGCTTCCATACCCAGAAGTGTAAGAAATAAAGCCATTTGTATTTTTCTGTAACTCCACTGACATGATACTATGCATCTCTTTTGCTATGTGCTGTAAATACAATTTCAATAAACATAGGTGGTCCCCCTATTTTCACTTAACTTTTTGTCCAAGTGCCAATTTTCCAGAAGTGGGAGTGAGGAGGGTGAAGTGTCTGGTTCTTGTGATCATCATCTCTCCTCATAAGCTTCAGCTACAACACCCACATTCCTTCCTGACCTGCCGTTATCCAACTTTGAAGATGGTGCCTGAAAGGTACCTCAGTCTTAACCATGAAGCTTCCTTGGGTCTAGCTCTGTCTCAGCTGCTTTCAGGTCCCTGGTGGGTTCATGTGCCCCTTCCTCTCCCTGCATTGTCACTTCTCATTGTGGGACCATCTAGGGCTTGTCTGTTTCTGAACCTTTCATGGGAGCATCCTACAGCACATCCCACAGAATCACTTGCAGGCTGTCACTGGCTGGATATGCCTCACACCATGCCACCTCTGAATGTGGCTGGATCCCTGGGTCCTGTCAGGGAAATGAGATACAGATCCCCTCTGCTCCTGACTCCTCAAAGTTTTCTAGGGTTTCTCCTGCTCTCTCTGACTCCACAACTCCGCCCATGGTAAAGGCTACAGAGACCCCTTTTCTCTGGAACCCAATGTCCGCTCACTCCATTTTTTTTCCATGTCTCTCCGCAAAAATCATTATGTAGTCATGAAGCAGTTTCTGGGCACGGTGCTTACCACATAAATGGTTATTGCATGAATGAATGAATAATGAATGACTGAGATCATTGTAGAAAAGCTCTTATTCATCAAATATTCTTCAAAACTTTTAATCCTCAGATACTCTTTAGAATTTTCAGTTTTTTCCATTTTCCCCTGAGGCATAGAATTTGACACCCAAGTCCATGATAGAAGAAAGAAGTAGGAGGAATCTCACCATATTATATTACACAGAGACCCTCAGGCCCTCTCTGATGCTACCTTATCACCTACAGTGATTTCTACTGTTACACAAAATCCAGCACAAGGATTGGTTGCAAAGTATGCGAGGTGTCTGACTCTTTCAACCAACCATGAGTTCCATGAGTGCTAGTACAACGCTTTTGTAATTTGTGTATACCAAATACTTGACATAATACCTGGCATATTGTATGCATTCAAAATGTTATTAAACTGAATTGAATTAAACACCTTGGTGAGGTGCATCTGCCTTCCCTCGTGGGTAACCAAA